ACATATCCAACCACCAACTAACTAAGTGTTTCATCCTATGCAAAAACTAAACCACCATCCACAGTTTGTCGGACGTACCATAGAATCTATTTCACAGTTTGTCAATGCCCTTTTCTAGGATCATGTATGTACATGCTCACAACTCCAACTGCTTGTGAAATGTTAGGACGCATACACACCATCGCATACATCAAACTCCCAACTGCATTAACATATGAAACTTTTGCCATATATTCTCATTCTTCATTAGTTTTAAGAGACAATTGAGAACAAATTTTGAAATGAGAAACAAATGGGATACTTACATGTTTGGTCTTTTCATTCAAGCCAAAACATTGTAATACCTTTTTCAGATATTGCTTCTTAGTCAAACAAAAATTACCTTTCTATCTATTTCTGCTTATTTCCATACTAAGGATTTTCTTGGCTTCACCTAGATCTTTCATCTCAAACTCTTGATTCAACTGAGCCTTTAATTTGTCTATCTCATTTTTACTCTTCGAAGCGATCAATATATTGTTAACATACAAGAATATATAAATGAAAGATTCATCTTGTAGCTTTTACAAATACACATAATGATCATATTTTCTTTTGGTGTACTTATGCCTTCTCATAAAGCTATCAAATCACTTGTACCACTTCATCGGAGATTATTTCAATCTATATAGAGATTTGTTCAACTTACAAACCCATTTATCATAATCACCATATTTGTATCCTTCTGGATGAGTCATATAGATCCCCTCTTCCAAATCACATGCAAGAAATATATCTTTATATCAAGTTAATCTAGCTCTAAATTCAACTGAGCTACCAAGGTCAACAATATTCTAATGGAGGAATACTTCACAATAGGGAAAAATACTTCATTGTAGTCGATTCCATCCTTTTGAGCGTAGTCTTTAGCTACCAACCTTGTCTTGTAGCGAATATATTTCTTGATAGGAGATCCATCTTTATTTGGCAATACCCACTTGCATCTAATTGCTCTTTTACCTTTAGGTAATTGTTTCGACTTCCAAGTGTTGTTCTTTTGGAGAGATTTTTTTTCTTCATCCATGACACTTTTTCACTTGTCACTTTCCAAGCTTTGCATTGCTTCTTGGTAAGTGATACAAATATCATCATCAACAACTAGAAGAGCATATGCCACCATATCAGCAAATCGAGCAGGTCTACAAATTTCTTTCATTGGCCTTGTAATTGCAAGTGGTTATAGTGTCTCTAGTAGTTCTTGGGCTTGAACCTCTTCATCTTTTGATTCTTCTAATGGAGTTGAAGAATAAATTCCATCAACTTCTAGGATCATTGTATGTTGAAACTCCACCTGTTTTGGAGTATTCTCCACTTGCTGCGAAGTACTTCTTGTTTGAACAACTACATTGGTTGCCTTCTTTACTATGGAAGATTCATCAAAGGTAACATCTATGCTACAAAATATCTTCTTGGTGTCTATACACCAAAGGCGAAATTTCTCTACTCCATGGGTGATTCCCATAAAGAGAGCCTTCTTTGCTCTTTGATCAAGCTTTGATTCATTCATATGATGATAAACAATGGATCCAAAAACATGTAAGGAATCATAATCTGTAGTAGTTTTCCAAACCATATCTCCAATGATGTGTTTCTTTCTATTGTAGATGGTGGTAGACAATTGATGAGATTGTCAGCATATGTCACATCCTCAACCCAAAATGCTTTGCTTAACCAGTATTAGATAACATACATCAAACTTTTTCCAATAATGTTCAATTTATACGCTTTGCCACCTAATTTTGTTGCGTGTATTTCTAATAGTGGAGTGTTGAACAATACCATGCTCCTAAAAAAGTCAAATAGTGGATCACTTCTATATTCCCCTACATTGTCTGTCCTAAGTTGTTTGATCTTTCTACTAGTCTGGTTCTCGACCATATTTTTCTATTTAAGGAAAATTTGGAGCACTTCATATTTAGACTTCATTGGATACACCTAAACTATTCTAGAAAAATCATCTACAAAAGTTACAAAATAATGTTTTCCTCCCAAATATGGTGTCCTGGTAGGACCTCATACATCTAAGTGAATATAATCCAAAATATCTGTTGCATTATGGATTGTGGTGCCAAACTTCGCTCTTTTCTACTTTCCTATAACACAATACTCCAAAAGTTCAATTTGCAAGCCTTTGCACCTTTAAAAAATCCTTGCTTTGCCAAAATTTACAAAGATTTCTCTCCAACATGTCTCAATTGCATATGCCACACTTGAGTTTTATCCAAATTATCGCCATAAGAAATTGTTGTAATTGCTCCAATAATTGTATTACCTTGGTAGTAATAGAAATTATTTTTTCTGATGCCTTTCATCATCACAAGTGCACCAAATGTGACTTTCAGAACTCAATCTTTCATAGTGACAACTTAGCCTTTGAATTCCAAGGCTCCCAAAGAGATAAATTTTTTCTTCAATCTGGGCATGTATCGGACATCAGTCAGAGCCCTAGTTGATCCATATTGATTCTTCAATCGTATTGAACCTATCTTAACAGTTTTACAATCATTATCGTTGCCCATATAAACAATTCATGCACTTAGTTCTATTAAATCAGAGAACTACTCTTGATTAGGGGACATATGATAGGTGCAATCTGAGTCTAATATCCGCTCATCTGAATGGAATATTGATGATGAAGCAACCAATGATATGTCAGAGTCCTTAGCATCATGTTCATGCTCTGCGACACATGTATTTGGAGCAACTTTTTCTTTCTTCTTCAGCTTCGGACAATCTTTCTTCCACTAGCCTTTCTCATGACAAAATGCACATTCATCTTTTCCCATTCTGGACTTCGAATTTGATCTCCCTCTTCTCTTTGGCTTTTGGCTTTTCGAGTGACCTGCCACCATGACCTCCAATACTTCGTACTTACTCTCCTTCTTAGTTTTCTCCCTAAACTCATAACTATACAAAGAAACAATTACATCTTTAAGAGTAAATTGATCCTTACCATGAAGTAACATTGTCTCAAGGTGCTCAAATTCAACTGGAACATATGATAACAATATTAAAGCCAAATCTTCTTCTTTGAAGGTTTCATCCATTGCCAATAAATATGCCACTAGTTCATTGAAAGTAGTGATGTGTTCATTCATATTGACGCCTCATTGATAATCAAATCTAGATAATCTTTTCTTCATATGGAGAAGATTGTGAGAGTTTTTCTTTAGGAATTTTTCGTCTAATGCTTTCCATAACTTACTTGCAGAAGTCTCGTCCTTATAGCCATACTTATGCTTCCTAGAAAGACAAGATCGAATCATCTTGCACACCAAATGGTTAATTATTCTCCATTCTTTCTCCTCCATATATACAGGTTTTTCTTCCTCAATGGCGATGTCTGGACCTTGTTGGAATAAAACGTCTAACACCTCACCTTGTCACATGTCGAAATGACTGGATCCATCGAAAAACTCAACTAAGAAGTTTGCATTTGGCACCACCCTCCTTATCGGTCTGGATGAAGAGCTTGATGTCTCACTTGATCCGTATTTTGTCATTTCAATGCCAACAAATAATACTCAATAGCACAAACTTGATATTTTCAGCGATGAAATAACATGATAACGTCAACCGTAACTATGATATCAATTGTTGGAGAAACCAAATTATTTCCCACACGAATGTAGTTTTAAATTGATTTGAAATGTTAAGATGAATTTTACCAAAGCACAAGAAAGAACAATAATGGAAAGAACACACCAAATTTACGAGGTTCAACGAAAATATCGTCTACTCCTCGGGCACCACCAGCGGATGATAACTTCACTATCAACAAAAACATTACAACAAATGGAATTCCTTAGAATTCCCAAAATATTACAAAGTATGAGAATGAAGAAAACAAATGGGAGAGAAAACTTTTTGGTATGATTTCAAGTGAATGTGCTTAGGACTAAACTTATAAATAACCTAATAGCTCAGGGACCAAAGATGAATTTTTCCATGTGCATAAGTTGGCCACTTGCTAACTTGAATCAACTTATCAACCTGTGTAGCCAACCTATGTAGCAAAATCAAACTTGAATTCTAAAGTGGTAGTAAATTTGAATTCTTTGATGGCTACCAATTTTAACCAACACTTGTTAACTAATCAACTTTTAGCTTGTAAAAGTACAAGCCAAACATAACATTATCAAAGGTTATCTTATTAGTGAAAATGGAAAAAAAATAATGGGATTGAGAGATTTAAACCTGAATAAGAAGGATAAGGAAATACATGCTTAATCACGAAGTTGAATTTAATATTTTACTTAGATATTATACAAATTTATTTAATTATAACGTTGATATGTCATTAATGACATGTGACTTAAATAATAAGTATCCTTTAGATAAGTGATTTGGTTGATAAAATAATAAATCAATGATTAAATTAGAACTTCCCGTAGTTAAAGTGACTATTCAAATAGTTTATGTTTTTCTTTATTTTATTTTCTGTAAATTACGGATTTTTAGCAGTGATCCTGCCCGTTGGTTTATTGTTAAGCCGGCTGGGGAGAAAGAGCAGTGGGGCCGTTGCTGTTTTGTTCTTGGCCTCTACAGTTATGGACTCTGTGTAATGGGATTTGTTAATCTTTGCCGTGCCGTAAACTGTACAAGTCTTTGTTATTTACCACGATGCCAAAAAGGTTGGAATCATAAAATTCCAGGTTTCAACCTTTCTATCTTGGCCCCAATATTCATAATCTTTTATACGAAAACATCAGTGAAAAAGAATTAGTCGTTGAGATCCTATTGTAAGTGGATTGATTATACGACAAAAATGGTAACATTTTGATAATTCTCTTTTCTCAACATCATTCTAAAGAAAAAATTGTAACATCATACTAAACATCACCCAGTTGCATGTTTCATCTTGTTTTATTCTTAAAATGAGATGGAGCGGGTGAGCTTTGGCTTGGAGATTCTTTTATCTTCTTCAAGGGAGATAATCAGGAGGTTGGTTGGGTTCTCTATCACAGCTTGGCGACCAAGTAGCCAGTAATGCTCCATGTCTGATACTTCCTTGCTTGCTTTCCCACATAACTCCAGGCCTTACCATCATAGTATTCAGGCCATCCATCTTTGGAAAGGCGCTGTTCCATCAGCTCTATGGCTCGTTTTGCAATTTGAGGCCTTCCTGTCTTGATACATGCTGCTGCGAGTAGCCATATCAAAGCTGCTTACAATATTCAAAACACCAAGCCAAGAATGTTAATTACCTATGCAGTTAGTTTATCAGACCATAGCCTTACTTAAAAATAAACACCATTATGGTAACTCCATCGTGTATTCTTTGGATCAAATCCAGTGACAGTTCTCCAAACATGACCCTCCAGGGCTGGATAAACGATCCTCAAAGGCATCTCTCCTATCAAGTCCTCCCAACGCTCCTCAATCAAATCCATAATTGATGTTGCTTGTGCAGGTGTAACTAATGAACTTAAGATTGCAATGCAGTTTCCAACCAAAAACCAGCGGAAGTCCATTCGAGCTGGGCTGACATTACCAATCAGATATCCCCCTCTTAGGGGCATAAAATCAAACACCCAATCAGGAATGGACTCGGGAATTACATTGAATTTATTGACAGCAGTGTGGGAATACTCAGTTTTGTAACGATATATGTTGTTTAACTTTGTGAAATCAAGCCAGTAGTAATTTCGGATGTGATAATTGAGAGCTGTTATGCGCTTATCAATGCGCTTGATCAATTCCTTGCCATCTCGCTCTGGTTTCAGCATCTCCCTTGAACACCTTAATGCAAAATAGAAGAGGGCTTGGATTTCAATAGGATATCCGTAAATTCCCTGCCCAATGTGCAAGCACGTTGAAATCCAAAAATTATACTCAATCTTAGTGCATTAGGAACCAACACCTGAAGCAACACTAGGCACTCTAGTACATAAAATGAATCCAAAGAATATAAGTCAAGCTATAACCCCTCTGTCTAAAAGCTTGCAAAATTACTGGCATAGCTAATGGAGGTTCAGAACAAAAGAAAATAGAGCGTGGCCAGTATGACTTCTCTGCTACTAGACAAGGGCCAGGATAAAATCATGCACTGATAGATCACAGGCTCTAAGGGCAACAGAATATTGCCCATTTAGATTGGCAAGCTATATATTAAGCAGTTAGAGCAGTCAAAGGATTATTTCATGATAACAGGATAACTTACCATTCTCCTATCAATCATGCTACAGCCATCTGCACACAAATGAGTTGGAAAAGTATCAAATCCATCTGAAAGGAAAAGGTTAAGTATCAGCTTCATTCCTCTCTGCACCTCAGGCATTTCTGAAAGTGTGTGATCATGCGTGCACTTGGTACATGATCTTAGCAGAATGATCCACCAGAACCCAGAGTCAACAGGAGCAACCCTCCCTATGGCACTGCCACCAAAATCTGCAACCAAGGTTTCCCTCAGCCTATGCGAATCATAAAGAACTTTAAAACTGGCAGGCATGACACCTTCTGCAAGTGTAAAGTTGTCTATCCTTTTCTCCCAACCTTGGAGGTGGAGAGTTTTTAACAGGAAATTCTTTACTATCTCTGGATCGCCACCAGCACTGGCTGGTCTCATTAGACAGGCTAAGCCGCTGGGAGCAAAGTCTCTTACAAAAACCTGCAAGATAAGAATTGTGCAATGCTATTGGTTCCATGTAATTGGCAACTACGAGATAAGGAATTCAAACTCTTTTAACTCGTTCTATCTATCAAAGTAAAATAAAAAATATCAGCGCATGAATTTGTTAAACGTTAAATACTATGATTGAATAATAGTTTAGCCAAAAATAAAAACAGTTTTTGATTTTTTTTTTAGTTGCTGTAAAATAAACATTCACCAACTCCTCTCAGTATTGGCATCTACAACAAGTGTCAACTTTCACATGTATGGGAAAATACCTTCAACGTTTGTTTTAAAATAAATTAGGAAAATGTAACGACTGATGATACTCAAAATAAGTTTCAACTAAAAATAGTAAAGATAACAATATAAATCCAGTTCCCTGCATTACCTTTACCCACAAAATTTGCAGTTACACGTAGGGCTTATCATGAAGTGCCTACTTTCATCGCAAGTAACATAACAAGTGTAACCATAGATCGACTTAGTTAGTAAACAACATGGCTAAGAAGTAGATTAATGGTTCTCATAAATACCAAATTAAGAATTCATTAAAATCATTCAACAAACAGAAAATGTCTCAAAATGCTATAGGATTTAGGAAGACCAGACTTCAATAAGTAAAAAATCTGAACATATACAATAGCTCCTAATTACCTACTAAAGAAAGATGCAGTATACTAACCGTCTAAGAGAAATTCAGTTTCATTTTCAAACAAAGGAAAAGAATAATACTATAACAAAACAAGGGAGGTATTGAATTTGAAGAAACATAAAAGACAACAAAGAACTAAACAAATTATACCTGATTGTAATTCAAAGCCTCGGCGGTAGGATCCATGGCCGCAAGGGTTCCAACAGGCAGGCCTTTGTAATATACGTAAGATTTCAGGAGTGCCTCCCACGCTTCTTCCATCATTGCATTATTTTCTGTGTTGTTCAATTTAATCGCAGAGTATATACTATTCGGTTCAAAGTTCTCAAAATTTGAGCCTATGCTAGCACACGACTTCAAGGGTATATGCGTCACGCTGGCGTTATCAACGATTTTCTCGTAGCTATGCACTCTCACCATCTTATTTAGCTTTTCCAATTTTTCAGTCGATTGATTTTCTTCCTGCGATTTATACGACTCTCCTTTTCCGATGGAGTCTTGACATTTCTATTTCAGTATATTTGGATTTTCTCCCTCTCTTGATTCAAGAGGTGCCTCTCCGTTATGAGTTGATTTTACGTTGACAGTTTTTAAAGAACCTAACGAAGGTTCCTCAAAACATTCATAAACTTCATCTTCTTTGAAACACTTTTTCCCTGCTGAGGGTAGAGAATTCCAAGCAGACTTAAACTCCTTATACGAGCTGAAATCAGATGATTTCTCGGTCGCTTCGTCACTTTCTTTTTCCATAGTCTCCAAAAGCTGTTCCGCGATCGGCGTTATCCGTTCTTCCTTCAGTTGAAGATAGATCAAAGAATCAGCTTCTTTCACCTCCTTTCCCGACAAATCTTCTAGTTCTTTCTCACCGTCTCCGGGAAACAGAGTCGGAGAAGGCAGAGGAACCGCCCCCGCTTCCTCTGTAACTTCAATAATGTCTCGCATCGATATGAAAAGAGAAAAGAAAAGAAAACGCCAGAAAAAGATATTAAAGAGAGGAACAAATAACATTGTGATTTAGAGGGAGAGAAATATACCTTTGAGAGCTCTTTGTTCGTCGTTTGGGAGAGGAGAGCAAAACTAACAGATAAAAAGAATAAGGCGAGACAAAAATGAAGCAAAAGGGAGGGCGAGAGAGTGGGAGCCCTCAGCTATATTTTATAAGTACGCCTAAAGGGGATGAACAAGAGAGGAATATTAGGCGATGAAAGAACCAGAAAGCATATTGGGCGGGGAGGGAGGAGTGTGACTGATTATTGTGTACTCTAATTCTGTTTTGGCGGTTGAGTGAAGAATTTCTCGAGTTTAGCAATTTGGCCTTAACATCTCAGTTATTAACGAATATGCCATTTCATTTCAAAACAGCTCATACGTAAAGGAACCCGATGGAGTGGCTACAAGTTTTTATAATTATATAATTTTGTAACTATTTAATTGTGATATAAAAGTATCATAATTAAATACATTACAAACTAGTTAAGAGGTATTCATTTAGGTGGCCCAAACCCCATAAAATTACATTTAATTTATAAAATAAAGTTGAAAATTTTATTCAACAATTAAATTATAATTTATTTCTTCATTTTTACAAATTTATATTCTTTTAAATTAATATTTTTATTTTGTTCCGGTTATAAATAACACACGACCTAATATAGTATTTGGTATATTGGATATTTACCAAGTTCATTTTAAGATTGATCATAAATGCGATATTTATTTACATGCAAATATGTAATTATGAGAGGTTGGTTCAAGTGGTAAACAATTTGATATTGTTTAAGTAATATCTCAGGTTCGAGTTTTTGTGTATGCATAAAATCTCTATTGGGATATTCACCCACTAAAATTAAATGTGCGACTTCAGTCGATTTAAATTAATAAGGCGAAACCTTAAAATTAGAGAGAAAAAATATAACTACTTTCTATCATTTTAAAATTAAAAAATAATCATATATTAATAATATTTTAACTAGTCACATATTTTGTTAAAAAAATCCAAACATGTATAACACATTGCAAAAATAAATGGATGTTGTTTATAGGTAGTAAAGTATATATATTAAAATGGTATGAGGTAAGTCACATATTTCGATAAAAAAATCCAAACATGTATAACAAATTTCAAATATAAATGGATGTTGTTTATAGGTCGTAAAGTATATATATTAAAATGGTTTGAGGTAGCGAGGTGGTTATAATGTAGTATTTATTTAGATTCTTTTATTTTATTAACAAATATATACATCTTGTATGCGTAGTTGCTCAACCTAAATTTTTTCAAAAAAATTAATATATAAGAGTTTATTAATGGTCAAGGAAACAGAATCCTCATGAATAAATTTGTCGAGCTAAAAGAGACCGTGGATTGGACATTCATGACCTCAAGCTTTTTAATTTGGCATTACTTAGTAATCAAGTTTGGAGGTTCGCTCATAACCCTCACTCTCTCCTCTTTAGTGTATTTATTTATAGCGGAATATTTTAAGCATTTCTTCTTCATGGAAGCCAAGCTAGGGGATAAGACATCTTATGCATGGAAAAGCCTTGGAACAGGAAAAGAAGTCACTCAAAGACGACCACTTCTGACAAATTAGGTTTAGCGGGTCCTCTAGAATGTATTTCGATCGTTTGGGAGTTCAAATCGTTAAAATTAGCCAACACGTTCATGGATAACATTGAACAATTGATTCGGTGTAAGGACTTTATGATTCTGGGGCTGTCAAAAATGGGATGACAACAAAGTTAGAAAGATCTTTCTAATTCATGATGTAAGCATAATTTTTAGTACTATTATATCACCATAAGAAACTCATCGCCTTATTTGGGAGCACCATAATATAAGATGCTATTCAACCAAATCTGGGTATAATTGACTTTTTATAAAGGTCGACACGGAGCGAGGTAGGTCATCCATATGGAGGATAATTTCGAAGCTTTTCACGTTGTCTAAAATAAAAAGTTTTTGGATGACGAGCTTGTCAAGATGTATTACCCACATGTTTGAAGCTCTCGACAGTCGAGTCAAGGAATCTGTCCCATGTGTAATCAGGGGATCGAGACGATCGTTCATGCCCTCAAGGTATGCCCCATGGTCGAGAACTTACACTCTCAAGGCTAGACCATAAGATCATCTCTTCTAACGCCACAAATTACAAATCTTGGTTTGGAGAAGCGATTGTTCACTTGGATCGAGCGAATTTTACTAAACTCATTAATCTCCCTTAGATATATGGACCCGTCGAAATAATGGATCAATGACAAATAACTCTAGTAAGCGAGAGAGGTGATCAATGCGGCTTGGAGCTTGAGAAAAAGATTTGTGAGGCATACAAGCCTCTATTCACCACCCAAAATTGGTGGACGTTAACTCTAAAATGTTATAAATCAAACCTCATGACGGTTGCACAAAGATCAATATTAGTAACGCTTTATTGTTCACATCAGAACCACGACAATTAGAGTGGTTGCAAGGGACCATAATGACATGATTATAGGAGGTATTGCACAGTGTTTAGAGGGGAGACACAACCAAGAATGGATGAATTCATGCTATTATCGAAGGAGATATTATTTTCATCGTGAATAAACATGTGAACCACTAAATTGACATCTCAGTAATAGAATTATTGTTTAAGGAATCTAGGAGTGTAAATGAACATATCGTTCGGTGAATTGTTTGTGAACCGTTCGTATAAGGTTCATTTATGTTCGTTCATTAAGTTAAATAAACGAGTATAAACAAAAATTTTATGTTCGTTTAATAAACGAATGAATACAAACATATGTGTGCTTGGTTCGTTTAGTTCACGAACAAACTCATTTATGAGTTCGTTTATATGTTCATGAACAAGCTCGTTTAATTTTTTTATATTTTAAATATCAGTGAAGGTACATATTAAATTAAATACACGGTAAAACATGGAGTTTAAATACAAACATTTTATGTTCGTTTAATAAACGAATGAATACAAACATATGTGTGCTTGGTTCGTTTAGTTCACGAACAAACTCATTTATGAGTTCGTTTATATGTTCATGAACAAGCTCGTTTAATTTTTTTTATATTTTAAATATCAGTGAAGGTACATATTAAATTAAATACACGGTAAAACATGGAGTTTAAATAATAAATACTAAGAAGTTTAAGCACCAATTATATGATTTTACCATTTTCTCTTAATTGTAACAGAAACTCTTTTCGTTTCTATTCTCTCTTCTATGCTTTCTTCCCCTTTTTCTCAAACCCTAAACTCTTATTTGTGCAACCAGATCTTAAGCTTCCACTTATCTCCCTATTCAACTGTGTGGTATAATCAGGTAAGAGTTTTTTTTTGGGTTTACAAGATTTCTCTCTATTTTACTGATATTTCTCCTTTTCTTTTGGTAAAATCTTCATTGAATTTTAGATAACTTCATCGGTGCCTGCTTTGTATGACTTCTTTCTCTCCTTCACTTTCTTGTTAGAAAATTAAAAAGGTATTTCTGATCCCTCTATTTTTGGATACTTTCTCTCCTGCTCTCTATGACTTTTTAACTTTCTCTCCTTCACGTTATCTTTATCCGGGTAAACGGATCGTACTTACGAGTTATTTGGGTTCGCCTGAAACTCTTTATTCTTAATTACTTTTTGAAAGTTACAGTTCTAATTTTAGCCTGAGTTCGAACTAGTGTTAGAATCAATTACCGAGTGTTTTTTAATGTAAATGAAACTTAATTAAGTTTTAGTAGTTTTATCATGTTTCAAATCAAACTTAAAATCAAAAAGTGATACTATGCTAATGAATAACCTATGAAAATTTGGAGAAATTAATCGATAATCAATAATTTATTCTTTTTTATTTAGATGAAAAATTATTAATCCGTCAAAATTTATTTTAGATGGTCTTTCTTTAATAGGAATGAATGTGTAAGTGATTTCGAAAGGACAAAGAGGAGTGCCCATTTTGTCCTATCAGATCTATGCTATATATTTTATATATCTAAAAGCCACGTAACTGTGTATATGAGGAGCCGGCGTTGTGCTTAATGCGTTGAGCTTGATTCTTCTAGTGATAGTAACACATAATTACAACATAGAGCGTAATTAGTAGATATTAGCGGTGTAAATAATACTTAATTCCAATACTGACATTAATCTGTTTCTTACTTACATTAGTTAAAATGATCACATAATTCCAACAATAAACTTATAACAGACTTGTACCCAATAATCTAGTTTCTAACCTAAAATCTAGATTTCAAACTAAAATCTGAATTCCAACCTA